TGATGAATGATGTCTCACAACCACTAACTGAGATAGTGAAGTAACCTTATTTCCATTTTTCAGAAGGGAAAATTGAAGCAGAGATGGGACCTGATCTCACCTGAATTCGCTCAGTGAAGTGACAGTCAGAATTACAACACCAGACTTATGATTCTCAGTTCTTGGCCTGCAACACTAGCAAGAGCTCCAGCCTACTGGTTGATATAAGGATTTCAGCTAAGATTTAACTTTTCTTATTCACCCTTCTTCTAGGTGATCCAGGGCCTGGTAATTGGAAGGTTAACTAATTACTACACAGAACATACCCTACTCATGTTGGGCGTTGTCGTTTTTGGTGGCGTGGGGCTAGCCTTGGTAAGACTCAAGATGCGATTTTCAAAAATGCCCAAAGAGGAACAAAAGTATACATCGTGTGGGCGGTATCACTTCAACTACAGCAGCAGCACAATAACTCTTCCTGTAAGGAAGGGGAGGTGTGAGCCCACTATCACTAACTAGAATGGTTATACCAATACAAAACTTATATGTAGACCAAACCACTTGAGTTGCAGAACCCAAGGGCAGTCTGAATCTCCACCTTAATCTTGCTGTCTTGTGAGTGATGCAGCAGATTGAGGCATCTTAACATTCCTATCAAGGCACAACTGTTTAATTAATTGAAACAATAGAGGAATGAGGGTCTTAAAGAGAAAATGAGAAGCAAAGTGAGTGAGATGTTATCTTTTATTCATTTAATGCATTTGCTGGATGCAGGAGCATTAAACAGTATCAAGAATAGTATGAATGAGGCTGCATAAGCTTGCTGGGCATGTCTTCAGCAATAACAATGAGAAGTGAGTAAAAGCACAGTAATTTAAATAGCCTTATTAAAATTTCACTGCATCTATCACTGTGTTCATGCCACTCACTGTGGCTTAATATGACAGATTTGGAAGCAATCCAGGCCCGAGAGGATCCTGGTGGCTGCTGAGGGGGTTGGAGTGGGAGGATTACAGAGCTGGCAATTAGACCATGCCCAGAGGGCTTAGGACATCCTGACAGCCTGGGCCTGAGAGAGACAAGGGTCAGGAATGACTTCCCATGAGAACTATTCATAGGAAAAGGCAGCTGCAGGCCTTTTTGCCAAGTCAAGCTTATTAAAAAGCACTCTGTTCAAGGCGTTGCCAAGAAAACATCCGTTTCTGGGGTGGCTTTTCATAATGGAGGTCAGGGCAGAAATAAGCTGTGTGGAGGCAACTTGTCATCAGCAGGACCTTAATGCACTGATTACAGATATTGGGACAGGTGTTTTTTGACTTGGACCCTCTTCCTCCATGTTGCAAGGGAGAGTGTCAAAGGGTACAGAGGTAACAATTGTATTGCTATCAGGGGATACTCATACAAGCTGTGGGGATAGGGCTGTAATGCCAGAGCATAGCAAAACCACTCCAACTATAACCCTGCTTCATTCAGGGTCAAAACTAGGATAATTTAGCTCACTTCTATCATCAAAGGCTTATGCAAATATAGCGATTACATCATAACAACTGATGTGCTTACCCAAACAGCAGTCTCTCCTCCACTTTTAAAGCAGATAAAAATGTAAGTTTGGCCATACACAAAAAGATAGCCATTTAACTTTTTCCTTTTACTGTGCCCCTGCTATCATGGTATTCCAGAAAGATGCTGAGTCTACAAACCAGCTTAAAAACAAATTCAAGTCCCAGCATCCAGACATACCCTAATGTACATCAGAGACTGTGGCCTTCCAGCTAGGGACAAACATTACACATAAACTGGTTTAAGCGATCAGAAACTGGTTTAAGCCTGTAACAGAACAGACATTCAGCACACATAAACCAGTTTGAAAATGGCTGAAACTGGCTTGAGGTAAACCTGGTTGAATGTAATATCAGCCTTAACTGATTTGGGTCAAACCAGTTTATGCAATGTCTGTCCCAGACCCCTTGCTGGTTTAAGTTAAATCAAACTTCCCCAGCATCCCGGCATACTCTCTGGGCTGGGCGGGGCTCTCTGCTCCACAGCAGAACTGGCCCCTTCCCTCTGCTCCCTGCCTACAGCTCTGGCAGAGAGACTTGCAGGCAGTGCAAGGTCTGCTGGCTTCCCCCTGCCCTACCGCCCCCTTCCCCCCCTCACTGCTTAAGCAGAGATCCCCTTCCTCCTCTCTCCCACAGCACGGACAGTAGCCAGCATGTGGTATGCTAGCTAATGCTGCGTAAGGCAGCTAGGACAGGTTAGCAGATTAGCTTTTGGAGCTAATCAACAGCTCAGCTGGTAATGTCCCTGCATTCCTTCCTTTGGAAAAAGCTGTTTAAGAAGAGCTTGAACTAATGAGCAACACTTTGTCTTCTGATGGGGTGCTAAATGCTGATAACAGAGATGATAAATGCTCTGTCATGAAGGTGTGAGGGGACTCCCTCCCTAATCACAGCATCCTGCTAGGGCCTGGCCATGCCCCCCTCTACTCAGCCCTATAGAAGGGAAGGGAGGGCTCCTCTAGCACCCCCCAGCTTCTAGCCTGAGCCACTGCAGGCATGTGCCAGCATTTTATCAGTTCAGAGGGAATATGTGTACAGTTACAAAATGATCAATTCATGCTCAGGCTTTTTGAATGTCTGTCCCTAGCCTAGAGCATTAGGAAGTGGAGGAGGCATTCGCAGCAGCAATTCCATGTTTATCTGTCATTTCCGTCATCTTAGTGCTCAAGACTGATGGGCCCACACAGCATTCAGGAGCTATCATTCTGGCATTGATCTGCTCTGACCGTTCACTACAGCTACCACAATGTCTGGGAAACAGCTGGTTGCTGTAGCTGTATACACTTCTGATCCCTGTTTGGTTCCTGCCAGCATTTGCTCTTGAAAAGGTGCTTCTGTTATCCTTGCTTTGTTCTGACTATCTTGCACACCAAGGCCTAGAACGTGCACTCCTTCCTCCAACACTAAGGCCCCTCAGAGTCACAACCATTATCTCTCATGTCTCCAGACAGTGAATTAATCTGTAGATCTTAATCCAGTTAAAAAAAACTTGTTCTTAACCTCAGCATCACCAAATCATGAGTTAGAACTGTTTCTGGGCTTGTTTTAACTCTGTAGCCAGGAGGCACCGACTGGATTTTATTAAAGAAAAATCCAGTTGGTATGATACAATGAGTAAAACTTCCGGCTTAACAAAGGATAAAAAGGATTTCTAGACCACAATAGAAGAAATACACCTTGAAAGTTAACCCTAGGATAAGAGACTTCCAAGAGCAGGGGAGAGAGTAATTTCCTTTCCGTGCCCCAGAGAAATGAGTTAATTTGATCGGTGAGGATTTTGAGTGAACTGAGAGCTACTTTAGCCCCATCACATATGTGTTCAGTACCTCTCACAGTACTAAGCAGCTGGGAGGATGTCTCCCTTAAGGATTGTTCAATAAGATTTTACAGGGATACACTCATGACCAGGAGACCCACTCCAGATTACTAAACATGGAGAAGCTATTGGCAAGTAAATAAACAAACTGGATTAGAAATCCCAAAGAACAGCATTACATAACCTACGTTATCAGGTTATTTTGGCAAGTGTAGTTAAGCTTTAATTATTTATGATAATGAGTTAGGTGGTTTTGTGTTAGTAATAAAGACTTAATGAGACCATGCTACTCTGCTATTAAACCTTTCCCACGAGGTTGGGAGAGCCAACCAAGGGGGTGGGGAGAAGGGAAGGGGTTATGAGAATTGTCAGACTTTGTGAATTAGCAAAGCTAGGCTAAATGCGGTTTTGACTTGTTCAGTAGGATATAATTTGTGACATGTGCTGAGTGCACATAATACTACATTAAACAAACACAAAGGTAGGATAAGAGACCTGAATGTGCCAGCTTCTCATCTGGTGGAAATCAGTTCTGTTCCATTAGCCCAGTGTCAGTTTCTACCAGCTAAGGGTCTGGCACAGTCTGTTTTTATTAAGTGCTGTGGGGATTGCGTCTCTGATAGGACAGTGCCACTTGTGCTGCCCAGGCTAGCTCTCTAAGAGGCTATGATGTTTTCTGTTCTGCCGCCCAGGCTCTGATGACCAACGTGTTCCATTACTGCATCATCTCTCTCCCCATGGTGTTTGCTTTCTGCACCGTGGGCGTCATCACAGACAGCATTCTCACCAAGGCCGTTCCCCCTTCGGACACCGGTAAGCCTCCTTAATGGGGTTTTTATCCTTCCCTAAATTCAGTCAGCTGCACCTCCTACTCCAGCTCAGGGCTTGTGACTTTTAGAGCCTCCAAGCTTTAAACTGCGAGTTGGCCTGTGTATAAACCCTCTGTGTGCTGCTGAACCCAACGCTGTCAGCCGAGACTTAGAGATCTGTGGGAAGAATGCCGAGTTCCAAGGGCTGAGCACATTACATCAGGCATAATTTTCCTTAGAACAAAGGGTAACCTATATTAGTCCCACATCTTTGCCAGCCTATGAACATTGCTTAGAATGAGCACGACTAGAGTTACAAGGGTGCTTGCAATGAGCCAGCAACCAGCAGCGATTGGCACTGCCAGAAACATAACAAGAGGCTAAATCGTGGAGCTTTGACGTAGTCTGAAATCTGCCCCAGCATAGAGGGTCTGTGCATACTTCTGCATATGCTTAAGGGCTCAGCTCAGCAGGGCCTTGCATCAGTCCTATGTGTTCAGTTGTATTTCAACACCACCGCCCCACCGCCAATCTGTCCTCAGAAACAGCAAATTACAACTGATGGCTCTAGTCCTTGAGGAGACTGCAATGGAAGCAAGTGGCAGGTCATGATTTAGGGCAGGGCTGTCCAGCGGGTGGTCTGCGGGTCACATGCAACCCCTGAGGGCTTAACCTGGGGCCTCTAAACTCCCAGTCTGGGTACCTCTTCCCACCCCATCACTTCAGCTGCTGCTGCTGCCACCACTACCAGAGTCTCCAGGCTCCCTCTCCCTCCCCTGGCTTCTATTGCCTGCCCTCACACTTGAGGGCAGGCTAGGGTGGTGCAGCTCACTGGGCTGAGGGACCAGGAGCAGAAAAGGGACCTGGTGACCTTATGTGATGAGGGTGCACCAGCCCAGTGCAGCAACAAGCGGCTCACAGCATGGCAGGAGCCCACAGGATGCAGGGGCACTGGTGCAGTGCAGAAGCATGATGGAGAACCCACATGGTGTAGTGTGGTGTGCAGCCCATGTGGTCTGTGGCCTCTCAGCCACTCAGAAGTTGGACAGCCCTGATTTAGGGCTATTGCACTTCCTTATGCCATGTCACTGTTACATAGGTATAGCTGTGGTGCTTTAACACTGAGGCACTGGTCTAGTTATACTAAACATGTCATTGCCTGAGAAATCTGGTTTGGACAGCTGCGTGCAATGAATGTTGGCAACAGAAATGAACCCATGCAGTATTAATGACGCGGTATCAAGCAACACTCCACTTACAACTGCCCAGTCTAAGTTGTCATTAAGGCTCAGGCTGCTGGCACTTCTGTAGCACTTGCAAATATCAGTCCGTGTGGCCATATATTCCCATCAATAAAGAAAGATTTACGTCATTTTTTTAACATTTGAATGCTTCTTGCCATGCATCTTGCTACCATAAACAGCTATGCAGTCAGAGTTAAAAATGCAGTTTCTCTCACGCACATTTGCACAGAGATGCTGCAAGGATGAATTTTATAAGAATTCTTGATTGCTGTAGGTTATGTTAGATACTCAGTCATCACATTATTGGAAAGGAAGGGTGAAGAGGCTGAAGGAGTTCCTAAGCATCAGGCTAACCTCAGCTGGAGCTCCAGGCCTTGCTGTAGTGAAAGAAGACTCCCAAGGAAGGAAAGCCAACTACTATGTATCCAGCCATCTCAGAAGAACAATCTGGATTGAAGTTAGATACAGTTGCCTACCCTAGTTTTAGACTGTTTTGGGCTGTTTCTATGGGCTGTTAAACATTTCTACATTTCAGTGTAGAAGTGGATGCAAATCAGTGGTAAACACAGCTGTTGTTGTATCTATTTTTCTCAAGGTACAGCTAGAAATGCACGTGCCTTAAGGCTACCCCGGTCATATTACTGTGAGCCTTCCATCTACTTTCTTCCTGTGTAGAAGCCAGGAGTCCTTTTGTGTGGGATGAAGCGTACCAAACTAGGTTGTCCTTATCTGCAGACCACGCTTCCCATCTCTTAAGCACTGCACACATGGTTCTGGTCACCATAGATTTCATAGACATTAGGGCTGGACAGGACCTTGGAAGATCATCGAGTCCAGCCCCCCACCCCAGGGGCAGGAAGTCAGCTGGGGTCACAGGATCCCAGCTACATAAACATCCAAATTTCTCTTGAAGGCATTCAAAGTAGGTGGTTGAACCACCTCCGATGGCAGGCTATTCCAGACCTTGAGGGCTCAGATAGTAAAGAAAGTCTTCCCTGTGTCCAGCCTGAAACAGTCTCGCAGGAATTTATAACCGTTCAAACTTGTCATCCCTTGGGGTGCTCTGGTGAACAAACGTTCCCCCAGATCCTGGTGGACACCCCTGATAAACTTATAGATAGCCATCAGATTGCCCCTGAGCCTGTGTTTTTCCAAGCTAAAGAGCCTACATAGATGCAGTTTCCCTCCTGTAGGGGATCCAGTGTTGGAAGAGTCAAACTCCAAATTCTGGCTTGCACATGCACCCTCCCCACCCCACACACACAGGCATGGGTGTTTGCAAACCCCAGTTGCAATTTTACCCACAGATGGTACAACCTGTCAGGAATGTTTCTTAAAGCACTTTTGGATTCCTTCTGGGTGAAAGCCTTTGGAAAGGTCACATCCTTGACTTATTTGTAAGGCTGAAAGCATTCCCATTGAATGCACCATAGATGAAAACTTAAAGAAACCAGTTAGCTGTTCCTGAGGTAAAGGCCTACATTTTCCTGGGCACTCAGTTCTGCTCAAATTAAAATTTTCAGTTTCAAGACATTTAAGAAATGTTCAGTGAAGAGTGAAAGCTGTGGGGGAAGGGCAGTAAATGGCATTTAAACATAGAGCAAAGTTGGAACTTATCCAGATAACTCTCAAAAGGGCTTTTGTGAGCAGGGGGAAACAGAACATGCCCTGATTTTAAAGCCCAGAGGCTACATTCAGACACAAATGATAGAATTCAGTGGCCTCATCCTTATCCTTATTTGCGTATGTTATTAGGTCACCATGCAATTCAGCCGGATTGGTAGACTCTTCACAGGAACTGAGGGGGGAGTGACACTCCAGGGTGGGTTGCAAGAAAAGATTGCATTGCGATAAGGGAGTTGTGTGTGGGCTCAGGGGTAAACTGGCAGGGACTATACCAGGTCAGGAATGAAGTGCATGTTTGTACAGTGCCTAGCACAGTGGGCCACAACTACAACTCAAGCCCTTCAGCAGTGCAAATAATAACAGGTGGTCTGATGTTTGGGGTTAGGGCTAGATAAACAGATGATGCAGCTGGAAGATGTGGACTGCAGTGCTTTAGCAAAGGCAGGTGGCCAGGGAAAGGGAAAACCGGGCATAAAAGTCGCATGTCCAGATCCAAAAGCCAAATGCCATCTGTTCACCTTTTTATGTTTTTGCATGAAAAAAATTAAAACGTTTTAACAATAAAGTCCGCTCAGGCAGGGGCAGCCATTCAGTCCAGAGGGCTGAACACAACAGGACAATGCATGCGGGTTGGAATAGCAGCACGGGTGTCTCATGGAGAAGCAGGACTATTAAAGTGCCTGCCACCCATTTCCGATCATGGGAGGCACCACACACTACCTGTTCCACCCACATATCAGCCACACTAATCTCCTGATTATGCAAACATGAAATTTACACTGCAAATTAGTCATTTTTAGTTACGTTTTCATCTTTTTATTAGTCAGTGAGAGTGACTTGATAAGGTCCCACCCTGCCCTGCCTCAATGCTACAGTTGACATTCAAGCTTTTTCATATCAAAAAATCAGGATGTGGTGTTAGGATTTCACTTTAGCCACATTCACGTGATTGCCCTGTTCACCAGTGGAATTTCTGCCCTGCATTTACAGTCTTCTGTAGAGCTTTTCATCATCCACTACAGAGGAATCAATCTCTCCACTGACTTTCCTGAGGGTTGAGTCATGACAAGAAAGAGGACCCACCCACAAAATAGGGTGCCTCTCTCATAAAGGGGATGGGTGGGATAGATTATTCTTTTCCACTGGCTGTAAATGTGATATGCTCTCTGCCTTTTCTAGATAGGTAGATTCCTCAGGAAATATGTACACTCTAGGATGCTAATCACTACTTGCAGTAGGCATTCAGCTCTGTGGATGAGAGCTTGAATTCCTGAAGCCATTTCCAATTAGGGCTGATGACTTTACCATTCAGTTTTAACTTATCACTGGGGCTTTCAGCTGAAAGGAACAGACTGGAAATGATTTCATTCGTTTCCCTTTGATTTTGTCTCTTCAAAGGCAGGAAGGCATTTTGCACTATGTTTGAGTGCCATTTATCTACATGCAAGAGCTGATGGGAATGCTGCTTGAAGCAGTCACAGTTTGTCTCCGTACAATGCCTGGCAGAACTCAATCCCCTGTCTTAGAAGGGAGATGTTTCTGTTTAGGGGTCTCCTTTCACAGGCTCGTTGCTTTATGGCACCATAGGTGGTGATTCTGTTCAATGGTATGAGCATAGCCAGAGGTTAAAATAGAGCTTGAACAAATTGAGCTCTCAGCTCTGCTTTTATCCAGTATCCAGCAATATGGCAGCCTACCCTATATTGCTGCATTCCAGCAGCCTGCATCCTGCTACATGACCCTGCTCTTGGAACAGACAGGGCATACCCTGTTTGGTTTTCCTAGCTCAGTGTGGCTCCTCTCCATTACTCAGACTGCTGATCCATAGCCTGCTACCTGCCTGACATTTGAATTAAACTACACTATTGCGTGATGATCTGAGAACTGGTCTAGAGCAGCACTATAATCCTAGCATGGTTGCATGATTAAAATCAAAAAGGAGGGAGGCTAGAGTATTCAGAAATGTAGGAGCTCAAGTAAAAGCACCAAGGGGAGGCCAATGACCCCACTGCCCTTGCCCAGTAGACACCTCTGGACCTAAACCCTGAAGTCTATAGAGAGTGATTTGGAAAACTGAGTCAGGGAGATTATGGGGCTGAGTTGGACAAGGTAGGGTGAGGGGCTTGGAACAGATCAAGGAAAGAAAAATGAGAACAGGTCACTTGTGGTGTGAGACAAGGGAAATGGCTGGCAAGAGGGGAGAATTTTAGGGAGAGGGACCATGCAGAAAGAAAGGTGGGGTAGGCAAAGAAAGAATTAATGCAGCTGCCACTTCTGGCATTACTTGGCCTGCTTCCAAGTTTGAGTGAAAGGTACACAGCATATAGATATTTTGCTTAATGAGACACTTTTTAGAATGGTACCAGTAAGCGCTTCACTTTGAGCCCTACAAATGCAAGCTCATCCTAGAGGCGGACCATAGATTGGAACCTCTCAAACCTCATTGGTGCCTACAGCTAGGGGGATCTAATTTTGACCCATCTAGTTTTTTACGAAACAGAAATCACTACTACCTTACTGCAGATTTAAGTGTCTCAGAGGTGCAGACCTGGCAACCCAGCCAGTTTAGAAGCCAGATCTCTGCTTTAGAAAAAAAAAAGAGTGCCAGCTCAACTGTTAACAACCAGTTTGGCAGTTGTGTATAGTAATGAGGTTCGTTCAAATGCCTGGCTAGCGGGGAGGGGGGAAACGATAGAAAATGTCTGTATGGTTGTTCCCACAGGAGAAATGGCAGCTTTGAGATCCACACATCTCATGGGATAGCCCCACGCATGATTCCCAAACCTGAGAACAGACCCTTTTGTTCTTCCTAAACAGTCAGGACACCAACACACGTTTTGTTTCATCCAAGCCTACACAAGGGGACCAACAATCCCACAAACAATGGCCAATGGTATTACTCATTTGCTGGTAGCAGTCCCCAGAAGCCTTCCAGAGATATTTCCTCTCACCCCCACCCCCTCTTTATTGGTTTATTTCTCAACTAGTTTTTAGCACTCTGGATGAAAGTGCAGTACTCCTTAACCCCCATTAATGTGACACGTGGTTGGATTGCCACTATTCTCTGCCCCACAACAAAAGGATTCAGAGTCTCTGTTCTGATCCAGATCCCTACTACTCCAGTATTCAGTCTAAACTACAAGAATGGAATAGTGCAGGTATGCTCACATATTGTGCTATCTAGACAGAGCTCAGGGTGCAGCCCCTATACCTGAAAACAGGACTCTTGTTCTTCCTAACCAGTCAAAAATGCCGACAGACTTGCAGCATGCAGGGGCACTAAACAAAACGAAATAAAGTAATTTAGATACAAAGGCAGCAGTGTTGTGTGGTATGGACTACAGTGTAGATAGATAAGAGGAATTATGTGATGCAATTGCCTGTGATTGATAGCAGGAAACTAGACCTTGTGACACAAGGTTCATTCCAGCTGTATGTTCCTTTGTTACTACAATTAACCCATACCTTCTCCATGTTTGCTCTCTGCTATCTTCTCCAGGTGCCATGCTTGGGATATGTGCATCAGTTCATCCCCTGATGCGGACTGTGGGCCCAACAATAGGTGGACTTTTGTACAAACAATTTGGAGTCTCATCCTTTGGTTACTTGCAGCTGGCTGTCAACCTAGTTCTGTTTTTGTATCTTTCAAAGAATAAAATCCCCCCTAAAGAGGAAAAAGTTCAATAATTCAGGCTACACAGAAGTTTACCCCTTTGTCCATAAAAATTAAAAAGCACTTTAAAACCCCCCCCCATATATGAGTGTATTTTGACTGCAGCAACCAAGATTGAAAATAAAATGCATTAAACCACTTCTGCATATTTCTGCCATGGATATACTTAGAAAGCTACTACTTACAAAGCCTTGCAATAATTCATGGAGCTGACAGATTGCAGATACTCCAGAGCCTTCGCAGATGAAAAAGTCATTTGTAATTGTATAGCAAGCACTTAACAAACAGGACTGGACCATCAGCTGTTGTTAATTAGGATACCTCCACTGAAGTCAATAGGGCTATACTGATGGATAGCAACTGGAAATCCACTCCCCCTTTCTCTCTGTTGTAATCAATGCCTCCATCAGGCCCATACGGCAAATGTTAGAGTGACAAAAGATATCAGAACTAATGATTCCATTCAGTTTACCAATAGATGCATGCATCATCTCTTGCACTACTAGTGTGGAAGTAAAGGCACATTGGCCAGTATTTTCAGGGGAAGCGTCCCTACTGTTGGCTCCCTAAATCCATACTTAAACCATGCAGCATATACAGTTTAATATAGCATTTTGCACAAAAAGACGTAAGTGGAGAGAGCATTTATGGCTTAGTGTTAAGCCAGCATCGGGCAATCCATAATAAAACACAGCTTTTTATTTAGATGCGTGTAGTATACAAGGGCTGTACATGTTGCTTTTTCATGTGGCATATACAAATCTCACTAGAGGAGGGAAGGCAGGCTAAAATGCAGCAATACAAGACAGGGGGGAAGAAACAAGCAGGGTTGGAGCAGAAGACAAGGAAACTGTACTTTTTCCTACTTCAGTAATCAGACATTTCTATACATGTTTCTCTCTACCTACCATCCATACACAGGTAGAGAACTAGGTCTTTCTTCTGTACATCCCAAGAGGTGACATCTACAAGCCATCTTCACACAGCAAAACATTACTTACCCAGGCCTTGACTCACACTTGACTTCACTGGTCCTCTTGGTTTTGCACAACCATAGTCTTTCCCAGGACCCTTGTTTTGTTAGCCCCTTTTTGTTAACCTCATTTCTGCCTACGTTGCTTTTGGTTGCTACATGCTGTTTTTATTACCTGTAATTCCCTGCAATGCCCTCAAGCAAGAATTGAAGCAAGTAGTTTTAGCTGGTTAACAATTTCAGGTTCAGGCCAGTGGTAGGCAACTGAAGATCTTGCATTCAAGTCAGCTTTTAGTGCCGATTGCTTCCCCTGCACCACCCCATCCTTATACCCCCACCTTCCCAGTGTTGTAGGTATAGAGGCTGTCATTTTATGTTAACAGAATTGGTGATAAGTCTTGCAAGATTTTACTTTAGTACACCCCAAAGTTCTCCAAGCCCTTAGATTATGTATACGTTATAAGAGCAAACAATCCAATGGCACTTCCAGCTTTTGCATTAAAATTGGAAAAGCCTGAGAACAGCCTCTTTCCTTCACCATGCCTGAACTTTGCTGGATCTAGAAACTGTGGAGACATAGGGAGATGAAAGACAAGGTAGGTGCATGTGTATACATGCATGCCTTTCAAAACCTGACATTTCAGGTCAGTCCTTATGTTATCCTGAAACAGGTAATCTGTATCTCTGCTTCAAGAAGTGGGAAAGTACTTGCTTATTTTGAGGGTTAAGACAGGTTATCCTGCCCCCTCTATGGTATGGGGTTGTTTCAGAGGAAGATGAAAGCAACAGTTGCTGGATTCCTGGTTAGATAGACCAGAGGCTTACTATATTGCAACAATTTCCATGTCACTAGTTTAGATACAACTGTGAATGTCTACACTAGATGCTTGAAGTGCAGTACACCAATTCTACTGTGCATTAGTGCAGCAGACAAAACCCATGCTATTGCACAGTAGAATTAGTCTACCACACATTAGCATCACCAAAAAAAGCATGTGCCAGTGATAACGCACAGTAGTGTTGATTATGATGCATTAAGGTAATACCTATAATTACAGGTACTAAACTTAATGCGTTGTAATTACAGCACATTAATGAACATGTAGACATGTAGCCCCCACTGAGCTTTTGTTTGGAAACCAACTGAGACAGGACCTTCTCCCCTGTCCCCTCCATTCCCCCCCAAGATAGAACAGCTTTCTGGTGCCAGAGAACATTGGTCATTTTAGTGCTAGCAGAAGTGTCAGTGTTACTATATTGCCTCTCCAGATGGAGTCTGAACTCTTAGCGCCACAGCATGCTGCAATAAAAATTACTGCACCAGATTGTATAGTAATAAAAAAGTGAACATTTCAAGTAATTTATTTGGAATGGACACATTAATGCAAAAAAAGCAATATTAAGACCAATAACTGCTTAACAACATTCATCAAAATAAATACAAATATAGATACTACAAATAATTTAACTTTTTACACCTATAGGTGCTGAATATTTTTTGCATCCCATAAATAGAAGAGAGTAGTTTGCAAAGCGGAACCACTTAAAACACGTGGAAGCTTCACAAGAAGTCCTTTTAAGAAAGTCTTTGGTTTTTAAGATTAAATCTCATACAAAGCTCAGGGCTCTTTCCTTAGCAGCCTCAACAGACTTGAAGGAAGTCACGGTGCTTCCAGCTTTCTTCTTTGTATTCCTTCATTGGTACCCTGTCACACTTCAGTCCAAGACACTTGATCTTGTTTTTGATCCAGCAGTAAGTTCTAAAGAGAACGAGAGAGAAGTTGGTCAGTAACCACGCAAGAGACTAGCATTCTTTACAAGTATGAATTTTCAAAAGGAGCTCAAAAGGAGTTTGGCACCCTTCTTACAAATGACTTCAATCTAGATGCACATTCCCTTAAAGAAATCTATTAAAAATGTCCTTTCTTGCATCCTCAGCTAATTTGAGTAATTATTCAAAAATCACACCTGTTAGTCTAATGAAAGTGCAATACAACACAGAGGTTCCCCACTGTCCATACAAACATAGGAGAGAAACCCTCTGCCATTAGGATGGGATACCAAGACCTAAACCCCTCATTGCAGCACAAGCTGAACAGCTGCACTTTTAAAGGACCTGGACCCACATCTATAATTTTTTTTTAGTATTCCCTGGTGGTCAAAACAGCTTAGCACTTCACTGCAACCATGAGTCATCCACACCTAGTACTACTGAGGGCCTCGGTGTCAAGTAAACCATAAGGCAAGGGAAAAGCTACAAGAATGGCCATCACTGTTACAACTAAAGGATACCGAAGTAGGAGCAGAAAGAGACCAGAGGCCCAGTGGCAGTTCTCATCCACACAGAGCTAACCTAGATGGAGCTACTTGCCATGCTTTCATTAGCAGGGCAAAAACAAGAAATACAGCACCTCCTGTATACTGCACACATCTAAATAAAAATCTACTTTTTACTACAGACCACCAGACACTGGTATAGCATAAATGTGCTCCAATTAAGTCTTTTTGCATAAAATGCTACATTTCTGCTTTCTGGGAAACAGGAGGTTGGCTCTAATGGAACTTGCAGGACAGTACAATTCATTCAGCCCTTTAGCGCCCAGAAAGACTGCCAATTCCCTCAATCCGGATGTTCACTTAAATGTGTGGCTGCTAAGAACAAGTCTAAAACCAGCACTGTTCAGCCCTACAGGAAAAGCCTGCGGCTCCTTTTCAAGACATTAGGAGTCTACATACAGTAAGAAAGAATTAGGATAAAGCACTTTTTAAGCACACCACAAGCAAAAGCCTGAGAACACTAAGCTTGAAACAACTAACCATGTTAGTTTCCAGGGGAGGGGGTCACTGAGGAAAATTGTCACAAAGTTAGATCAGCTTAAGACAAACTTTTCTGTTTTCCAAAGCAGTTAAACTGGTCTCTAGTTTCAACTAATTAAGGGAACTGCTGGCTTCAACAATATGAAGTACTATGAAGGCAGAATAAATAGATCTTGCACCCATGCACAAATCTGAGACTTATCTATGCAGGAACACTCCTGAACTTTTTGTCTGAATCAACATTCAAAGTGGATTAAGCTGTACTGAATCCCTGTGCAGACACTGCAATTCACAAGTAAAGTGGCCAAGTTGTGTTAATCTGTTCTACCCTCCAACAGCTTATTTCAAATGCAGACAACTTCAGTTTGTCATCAGGGCTCTGAGGCCTGGGCCGTGCATGCAGAGGAAGCAGCGCATCAGATGCACAACCTAGCTATCCCCACAATATATCTCCCATTTTGGGAACTGTTTCCAGACTGGAGTAAGCTACATTGGTCTCTGTGCACAGTATTGCCAAACACCAAGGGAGTTAGTTGTAGTTAATGGGCTGACAATTCACACCCTCACTTCAGGGCACATTCTCTGCATGTCCAAAGCCTTGTTTGGAATTACATGTACACAATCCCAGAGCAGCAGGGCTGTGGATGCAGAGTGAACCAGAAGCAAGGCAGGTTTTTATTGCTGAATAAAGGCGTCTGCGGGGGCAGATCATCTATTCACCCTGGCAGCTACATAGGGTGAAACAGGGCCATCTCTGGATGTGAAAAATGAATGAACACCGACTGCTCTGCCATCCACTGGGGAAGATGGAAGCCTGCAGCAGAACACTTCAACCTCCCTGGACACTCCATTGCTGATCTCAGGATTGCTGTTCTTAGGCCACTACTTTTAAGAACTAATCTAAAAGGGAAACTGGAACTAGAAGTCATTTCCCCCCTTCCCCCGACAAAAAAAAAAAACAACAACAACAACAAAAAACTGTAAAGTACAGTTTAAACAGGGATTATGAATTCTTCTCTCAATACCTGGGCTCTTTCATGACCTGCTTTGCACCTATGGGTTTACTGCTCCTTTGCTTCCCCTCATAGAACTGCCCTCCTTTCCCCATCTTGTCTTTTGTACTCCAACTTCTCTCTCCTCTCAACACTCTTCATCAGAGGCTGGGACAAGACATGCAGAAAGCAGTGAACTACATTGTGCTCTCTAAGTAGCTCTTATGGAGCTGGTCTAGAAATACAGCCCCCTCCTCCCCCCACCATCATGAACAGGACTAGCCACTTCTCCACTGACATCCCATTCACCTCTCCCAGCTTCCCTGCCAGAGGCAAGCCCAGATTCTTATCCCATCCCTCAGTTAGCTTTTGCAACCCACTTTGTTCCTACGCTCCTTTGCTTTTTTCTCCTAGCACTGCCCTCCTCCCTGCTTCCTCCCTCTCCCTCGTTTTTTGTACTCCAGCTTCTCCTTCTTACCAACACTCCACTTTCTGTGCACTTTCTCCCAGCCTCTGATGAAGCTGACTAGGCTTGGCAGGCAACAGCTCCTGCTCTCTACATAGGCCTCATTTAATCAGAGTAGAGGTGCCCCCTGCCTTCAGGCCAGCGGGGTTAACTACCCATCTCCAGTGTCACCCCAGAGAGGCTCCCTACCACAGAGCAGCTGAGGGGTGGGTAGAGATGGACAAGACCAACTCCCTCTCTCCAGTGCCACCTGAGACAGACTCTTTGGGGGAGAGCAGTGCAGTGTGGATGCGTGGCAGGGGGTGGACTGAGGTGGCCCTGGGAGAGATGGCTGGTCCTGTGCCCCCAGAGAGGCTTCTCTGGCCAAGAGCAGCCTGAGGCAGATAGGTGGGGGTGAACAGAGATGCTCTTGTGCCCAAAGAGACTAAGGGCCTCCCTCCAATGCCACCACAGAGAGGCAGCCCAGGGCAGGCCCATGGTGGGGGTGGGGGGCGGACTCTCGGGTGGCACTGGAGAGAGGCAGCTGGTCTCGTGTCCCCTGGGCAAGAGCAGCCTGGGGTGCACAGAGATAGTTTGTGGGCACGAGACCAAGTACCTCTCTCCAGCGCCACCCCAGAGAGGCAGGAGCCCGAGGCGGCCGCCTGGGGGGGGTGGGGATGGCACGGCACGGCACGGCACGGCACGGCGGAGCGAAGGGGGGACGCACCTTG